TGCAGCAGGTTTTGGTCACTTCACATGACCCTGGGACACTGTGACCGTCATAAATATGAATCAGTTGCCAAGCATCTGAATGTAAATCACAAGACCCTGGAGATGCTGCAACATTCCAGCTGATTGGCGCTTCTTCTGGGCTCAGCAGAAGCGCCAGGATCAGTGCCGAGCTCCAGCTGGAGCCTGGTGCTGATCCTGGCGCTTCCACTGAGCTCTGACAGCCCTGCAGCTCCAGCCATCTCTCGCTCAGGCTTAAGCGGTGCTGACACCGGTTCAGCTCATTCCCCTCCCCCGCTACCACTTTTCTAGGATGGTCGCGTACCACCTGCCAGGTGCCAATGTACCACAGGTGGTACCCGTACCACTGGTTGAAAAGCCTTGCTCTAGACAGCTTACAACAATAAAAAGAAAGGAAAAGAATATAAACAGAAGTATGATAGCAGAATAAAATAATGAAAAAGAAGACAATGAGAATACACCAATAGGATGATCAAAAAAAGAAAGATGGATGTGTAGAGAGCAGGGAGAGGGAGGTGGAGAATGCCATCAATCCAGCAGTCACCACGACCCCAGCCAACCAGCAGAGCCAGGTCTTCAAGCTTTTGCGGAAAGATAGGAGGGTGGGTGGAAGGATGGTGGGTGACAATTAAAGGGGAGACTTAACCATCTCCAAATGTGTTTCTGTTCCCTGCCCTTCCCTGATAGATTTTGCCGGTTCCCCCCAAATAACAGGGAACCTTGTTAAGAGTCTCAGGAGACATAGCAAGAGGAGGTCCAAGGTGGGCATTCTCTGTAGCAGCTAACCCTCCTTTGGAACAGCTGCCCCCCCCACCCAAGGAAGAATGGTCTCCACCTTCACGCCTTCCAGAAGCAGGTGAAAACATGGCTCTTCCAGAAGACCTCCTGGAATTAGTTATAATCAGTGGCACCATATTCAACAATTAACAATGAAACATTATTTCCATTTTCATTTGGAAAATTAGATTATGGGTTTTACTATTTTAACTAATAGTATTATTTAGCTTTAACTGTGTTTGTGTTTTGTATACCCAGCTAAATAAACACCTTTTATCACTGCCCCTCCCCAAAACACATGGATCTGTTTGTGAATCAGGAAATTAACACTTAATGTATTTTATTTGTTTGGACACAACCTGTGTACTCCACAATAGTGTTTTGTTACTCTAGTTTATGGTTTACCATAGCATATTGCATGGATGTAGCTGCTGCGTCTTTAAATGACCCAGTTATACCTCTACCCCAAATTAGCAATCATTCTAATTAAATTAAATCATATTTATATTTATTTAAGAAATGTATATGACCATCTATCTTATACACAACAATGCTTGGTAGCTCACAATAAACAACCAGTAAAAACAGAGGTAAAACAACAGTTCCACACTTTACAAGGGAAAACATCACACTTCCCAACTCAGCACTACATTATCATCATATCGGCTCTACATTTGCTGGGCTCACTCCCCTCCTAGCCCAATACTTGTGGAAAGAGCTAGGAAAGGGTCCCTCCAGATCTCAATGAAATAAATAGAACTGTTAGCATGTATGATAACATTCTTTCCTGGAGACAAATCAAACATTAACATGGCTCCTGACCCTTGCTGATTCTTCCATAGTCTTAGAATTAAGAAACTGGAAAAAAGGAGCAAGTGTCAAGGGCACATAGATGCTCTGTTAAGTCTTAGCTCATCCACGTTGTAATTACATGTCTTAGCTGCATTCACATATCGCATGCACCGCTACTGCATAAGACACAACCAAGTACACATGTTAAATCATCATTTAGAAATAGTATGTATGAATTCATACAACACCCAAACAAGCAAACAATCTTAAAGATGAGAGCAATGTGTAAACCCGGCCTTATCTAAAGCTCTTTCTTACCTCCAAGACAATATCAAGGTGGCCTTGTCTGTAATCGTCCCCATAGGAATCCAAAACTCTCATTAGAAACCTCAGAAGAAGTAGAAAGACATTATTATTATTATTATTATTATTATTATTATTATTATTATTATTATTATTATTATTATTATTATTATTATTATTATTATTATTATTATTATATTTGGATTTATATCCCGCCCTTCTCCTCACGGACTCTTTTGTATAATTGTGCTCTTTTCTAACCAGGAGCCCTGTCTCACAAAATGAAAAATGGGGTGAAAACAGATCATTTTAGATGAAAGAAGTTAAAATTCATCTCTTTGGTATAAACATGCAGCCTTTTTGTTCAGAAGCAGTGTTATCATTAAACCCTGATGAAGTATAATTCCCAGAAGACCCAGCCAGTATAGGTTATTGTTGGCAGTCCTGGGAAGGGCAGCTCAGCAAATTCTGAAAAGTCACAAGTTTCCCTTCCTAAATTAAATATCCTCTGGTCCAATGCAGCTAGTTTTTAAAATGGTAGCACTGCACAAAGGGGAATATACGTAACACTTTGTACCTACTGTATCTTCTGACTCACCTCCTTTCCTGTTTGAGACGCAGTGTTATTCTCTGGACCTGATGGAGCCGATTTAACATTCTCTCATTCACCTATAATGAGGATCAATATTAGCTGGACATCTTTTTTCCGTTTACTCAATAATTCCCTCCTCTTCCACCTCAGTCTTCACTTAACAGTTGTGTTACTTAAATTTTTCACTGTAGCTCTATGTAGTATCTGCACAATCCTTTTTCCTGAACACTTATGCTATTGTAAACAGCATGCTGAATTGAGGCCAGAAAGACCTAGGTTGAAATTTTCATCCAACCTTATATAGTAAGAGACCTCTCCCACCCTCTCTCTCAAGTCTATCTTATTTCACAAGATTGTTGTTGGAAACATTGCTAATAAACAGGGGAAAACATATTCACTCCAATCATGTACCTGTTCTAACTCCTTGCAACGTTGGGCAAGCACTTGACACTTGCGTCGAGTCATCTCCTGTTGCCGCAACATATCCTCCTCTTCCTCTTCTTCTGGTATCCCGCCATCAGCAAATTCCACCTCAGTCTCTAACTCACTTTCTAGGATATTTCCACCAAAAAGAGGGGGCAATGCCAACTCTGAGCCAGGAGGCACTGAAAATTCTTCAAAACTCACAGCAGCCATGACTCTGTTCTAAAAAATTTAAAAGAAAGCAATAAATATAAAATAACCACAGCTATATCAGCTTGATCACAGTAAAATAATCCAGGGATTCACTTGAAAAACATTACATCTTTCCAAACATTTGAGCTAGTCACTCTCAGATTAACCTACCATATAGGGTTGTTGTGTGTGTGTGTGTGGGGGGGGGGAAATAGAAGAGAAAGAGAGAGAAAGGAAGAAAGAAAATATAGATCTATGAAATAAAGAGATAAATCCCCTTTTCCACCAATACTTAAAATAGGATACAGGTGGTTTATAGTCACCTCTATTGATATATTTAGTATGTAATAATTCTGCTGATATTTTTGTGAAAATAAATCCTGCTTAATTAAATGTGACTAGTTTTTGATCATATAAGACTGCATGTTTTCCCTTTGGTTACTACAGGTAGTCCTTGACTTACAACCATTCATTTAGTGATTATTCAAAATTACAGTAGCATTGAAAAAAGTGAATTACAGCCAACCCTTGCATTTACAACTGTCACTGCATCCCCACAGTCACATGATCAAAATATGATTGCTTGGCAACTGGCATATATTTACCATGGTTGCAGCATCCTGAGATCATCTGATTGTCATCTGCAACTTTCCTGGCCAGGTTTTGACAAGCAAAGTCAATGGGGAAGCTGGATTTGCTTAATGATCTTGTGATTCAGTTAACAACTACAGTAATTTGCTTAACAACAAAGACAAAAAAAGTCGTAAAATCAGGTGTGACTCACTTAGCAATAGGAATTCTGGTCCCAAGCCAAGAACTACCTGTAAATTGAAAACAAATGCAGAGAATATAACTTAAGGAAACCACTTCCAAACTGTTGCCATTCGCATTTAGTGCATTTGGAAATTCCCAGGTAATCACCATACTTGTTAGGAAAACGGAAAATGCAACCTCAATACAGAGTACCAAGCTGAATTATGCTTGGTTTGAATTACAGTATCACAAGATAAGTAACAATTATTCTAGTGAACTGACTAGAAGAGCTTAATTCAAGTCAGAAAGAGGCATCCGTTAACGCTTCTACAAAGAGGGGAAGCTCCACTTTTTGAGAGTGGAAGGGGAATTGTAAGAGCCCAACACCAGAGAACAGTGTCAGGCTGCAAAATGCCAATTTCCCAAAATGAGATTTTCCTACATCAAACCTACCTCAGTCTCTACGCTACTCCTACCTTTTTCAATGAGACCACGAAAAATACAGGGACGATCTGACGCTGATTGATGACGTATTCAAGCAGCTAACAAAAGCGCTGTAGCAACAAAGAAGTTTCGTGCCCGCGGTTTAATTGGAGGAAGAAAGGCGTCGCACTCCGATGATCTCTGAGCATAAGTTGACCCGACCCTGACAGAAGAGTCTGTCGCAACGCATTTACGTAAACGAAGCGTTTTCTCGATCCTGTTCCTCCCATAGTTTCATGAATGGAGAGAAGGCCGCACAGAAAGGGATGATGATGTAACATGGGTTCCGGAAGTCCGTAGTCATAGAGTAGGCATTGTAGAAGCCGACCCATCGTTCGAAACGGAACGTTTCCTGCAATTACTGTATTTCCAGGCGTCCATAGAGTTAAGAGGGCAAGACAAGCCCTTTGCTCATCGGCGTTACGCGACGCAAATGGCGTCCAAACCGGAATCGGAAGTAATATGCTTTAGGCTACTTCTTTCTTCAGTTCTTAGTTTCGCGTTTGGGGCTTCCATGATAAACGTAGGAGGGACGTGCTTTGTTGCGTGAAGGCTTTAACGGGGGACTGAGAAGAAGCCGGAGCGGCGTTGTGAAGTGAAAAAGAAGCCGGTGAGGAGGAATAGAAATCCTTAATAAGTGGAGGAGACTGGACTGGGGTTAATGCCTTGTTTAATCTCCAGACTGATTGAAACGCTAATTCTCCCCCCCCCCGGTCCTCCTAACAACCCTCTGAGGTAGGCTAGGAGGGGCCGCTTGGGGCTCAGCTGGCTTGGCGAACCCTATGGCCCATTGAGAGATCCTAACTGGCTCTCCCCAGTATTTTCGCAGCTGCTCTGCCTGGCCTCTCGATCATACTTTAGTACTTGGCTACTGTAACCATACGCCTTTTATTATATTATAAAAAACGGTCTGTTATTTCAGAAAACTGCCCTTTAGATTTAATTGTTTTTTTTGTTTGTTTTGCTCTTCAATTTTCCTTTGTAAAGCAGAGTTATAAACAATTGTTTTTATCTTTATGATTTCACAGTTTTATTAATGTATAACATAAAATGCAAAAATGCAAAAGCAAATAGTAGGAAAAATAGGGGGGAGGAGAAGTGTAGAAAAGAAGGGAGAAAAGAAAAAAAAGGCTATGGATTTTGACTCCCTCTGGTGCAGTAGAATAAAGCAGTAACATCAAACCTCAGCTTTTTACTTTAATATAATAGTATAAACTAGCCATTTCTATAACAACAAATCTATCTACTCAGTAAAACCCAAAATCAAAGTATCTTTATGAACCTTTTTCGGATTTGCCTTTTTCAAGTTTGTCGTTCATTTTTTTCCAGGAAAATATGGTTATTATAAGTATTATGCCATATTCATAGTGGAGCTCCCTCCCTTCCCCCCCCTTTCCTGATATACCTCTATGAGTTTTCATGGGCTGAGAGAAAGGATAGGTCTTCATACTGTCATGCAGGTGCCGCAACTTAGGAACTTGTGTCAAATGTCTTTTATGTAATTGTGACATTTGTACAACATTGTGTGTCATAATTTTGAGATTGGTATGAATTGTTATATACAGCCTTCTTTTACCTCAACACCATTCCCTCCCTGTCGCAATGTTCTTGTATTAGAGCTGTTACTATTTTTACTCTTCTTTTTTATTAGGTTCTACATAACAAATGTCACACATTTAGTATCACAGTAGAGTTTTTTATAACATGCTTCACTTGGCTACTGAAAAAACTCATTTGGGGGGGTTTGTATGCTACATTGACACATGTAATAAACCAGATATCATGTGCATACAACGCATAACCCACTAAGTTTTCTTTCGAAGATATTTCCTTACCAGATTCCTCAATGCCTTCAAAAATGGCGGAGCTTCTAAAGTGCTATCTTTGCTGAGAAAGTTTTTTTTTAAATTAAGGGAGATATGCTGAGATGTATCTGCCTTGAAAAAACACATGTTAATTGTATGGTGCAGCCAAACATCACAAGATGACCACGGGAAATATTTTATGACATTTGGTATAATGTCATAAAATGTTTTATGATAATCTTTATATCATAAAATGTTTGATAAAATTTGTTAAATTTCAGTTCTATGAGAGTCATCGGTTCCAGCTTTTGGACACATTCTCTAAGTTAGCCCATTTGAAATAACCTTGATTCAAAAATTATTGCCCCCCCCCAATGCACCATTTCCCCAAGTTAAAGGTTACACACAGACAAACAGGAAAGTTTTAGTAGTATATTAGACAATCTGTATACTGTGGGGTCATCCTTTCAGGGATATTTCCTTACCAGACTTCAAAAGTGACAGAAGTCCTAATACTGCCTTCACTGGAAAATATAGGATACATTCAGAGACGTATCTGCCTTGAAAATAACCATGTTGAACTGTACAGCACAGTCAAATATCAGCATAGGAAATCTTTTATGTTTTGTCATATTCTGTTGTATGATAATTATAAATGTTCTATAATATTACTATATTTCAATTCCACAGGAATTTGGGGTCCCAAAGGTGAGAAGGGAAGGCTGGAAAGTTCACATGTTTTTTTAGGAATGATTGTTGGTATGTACCATGGCGTGTTTGGAAGTACTCGGAAGGCTGAAGGATTCTATGATAGAAACTAAGTTATTAGAAAGGACATATTGGGAGGAACTAGTAAGATCTGGAATTTTTTGACTGAAATGGATTCAATAGGAAAGCAATTACAACTGTTGTAAAGAAGAAATTCCTTCAAACAGAATGAAAGAGAAAGGAATTGAAGGGCTTAGCATCCCGGATTGTTGTGCTTATACAGATTCTAAGATTATGTATTACTTTCTAGAGAGTTTCATAGATTACAATTATTATATGGTAACTGAGCCTTACTAAGGATTATATTCCTTTACTGGCATCTGGAAACTGAAATCCTACCTTCTGAAGGGTGATTGGTTGCAGAAATATAGGATTGCAACTGTTTAATGAGAGGAAAGATGAATGTAAGGCTGAATCGTAATTTAATTACTTTACGGTTTTTTTATTAGCCCTGGTTTGACTGACTTCTCTAATCCAGTTTTATTCTCTTTTCAGCCTTGATTCACCATGTCTCTAGCAGATGAGCTTTTGGCTGACCTTGAAGAGGCAGCGGAGGAAGAAGATGGCAGTTTTGCAGATGAAGAGGATGAGTCTCCCATTGAAGATGTCCATGAAGAAATGCAACTGGATCTGGCAACTGATTCAGTCAAGAGTATTGCCAAGCTGTGGGATAGCAAAATGGTAAGAGAAATAGACATCTTTCATATAGAAGAGGACTCGCCAATTTAATATGTTTGTGAAGTCATCTCTATGATCATGCCAATTTGACCAGAGGGAGGTGCAGTCAGAAATAAAATACACCTTGGAAATTAGAAAGGTACTAAATGTCCCTTAAATGGCTTTCGGTTAAATAATAAGGTTATATTTCAGAATTGATTTTGGCCTCAACATATGTTCTGTAACCTGCCATTGCTGTTTTACACTCTGAAGTTCACGATGGAGGGAAAGCATGACCTTAGATCTTTTTATTCCTTTTGTGCAGTTTGCTGAAATTATGTTGAAGATTGAGGAGTACATCAGTAAGCAACCAAAAGCATCTGAAGGTATTGTTTGATTCAAATTTGTCTATGAAGAAACAGCAGTATTGATAATACTTCTCTTAATTTTTTTTGAGCCTATTGAGGTCACATCCTGTTCCTGCATTAAGACAGCTCATTTCCCTTCCGTCAAGAGCTTGGACATGTCTATGAACCCACATCACAGTCAGCTGCACTGCATAGATTTCGATTATCCTCTTTTTCTCTCCACAGTTCTAGGTCCAGTAGAGGCTGCTCCCGAATACAGAGTCATTGTGGATGCCAATAATCTCACCGTAGAGATTGAGAATGAACTGAGTGAGTGAAAAACCTTGGCTGCTGATTTGGGATAGGGCAAGGAACACACTGTATTAGGTGTTATATAGTGATACATCTGTACTGATATCAATACAATGGATTTCTGGGAAAGGAATATGAATTAACAGTGTAGAAGTTTGAGGTACAAGGATATATAAGTGGGCTAATTGTTATGCCATGAAATGCATGGCAGTTCAAAAGCTGTTTTAGGAAATGTTCCTCTTTCAGCAACAAAAAATTAAGTTTGGACTATTTCTAGAGAAATTTTTTGATTTAGCAGTATTAAAATAAACTAGGGCAGAATACTTTTGATGGCTGGCTTTGTTGTTTTTTCTGATATCAGGCTCTAAAAACCAAAAAAGACTCACTGAGATTCTCTGAGCAATTTCCTTTGCAAGTAATCCTCAACTTACAACCACAATTGATCCCATAATTTCCATTGTGAAGCCAAATAATTAAGTAAGTTTTGCTCCATTTTATGACCTTTCTTGCCACATTTGTTAAGTGAATCATTGTAGCTGTTAAGTCAGTAACCTGGTTGTTAAGTGAATCTGGCTTCCCCATTGACTTTGCTGGTCAGAGGGTTGCAAAGGTTGATCATGCCCATTGGCTAAGCATCCAAATTTTGATCATGCGATCATGGGGATGCTGCAATGGTTGCAAATGTGAAAAGGCGTCTTAAATCACATTTTTAGTCACTAAATGAATGGTTGTAACTCGAGGACTATCTGTATTGTTTCTCACCTATTAACAGAAATCTTGCCAAACTAAAGCAGACTATGCATCATAAAATGTACACTCTGGGAACTATTAAGGAGGAACCATCTTCACCCTCTTTCTCTCACACAAACTTTCTAAACTGCAAAGTCTCTTGCTCCTCTGAAATATCTTCCCTCCCTCCTGGAAATCTGGAAAACATTCCATCACACCTCCCTACCTGGCAAGTGCCAGATGTACTGGATCAGAACATTGTTCCCATCCTGCCTTGGAATTACAGAGCTTGAAGTCTAATCCATCTATAGATTAAGTTGAGGAAACCTGTTCCACGCTCCCAATCACCTCAATGCTTTATGGATTGCTGTCTTTTGTCTCTAGATATTATACACAAGTTTATCCGAGACAAATACTCCAAGCGATTCCCAGAATTAGAATCCCTTGTTCCCAATGCTTTGGATTACATCCGGACTGTTAAGGTATTGTGTTTGTTCTTAAACTATGCAAAGTTCATTCTTCTGTTTACTCTCATGAATACCCTAACTGCCTGTCCTCTGGAACGAGTTCCCCCCCTGATTAAGGTGGGCGCCATGCTGCTGCTGTTTAGAAGAGCTGTGAAGACTCGGTTCTCACCCAGGCCTTCAGTGAGGGAGATTGAAGCCTCTCCTTCATCCTGCTTGCCATTGTGTGTCTTTATTTTTTATTGTTTTTACTGACATTTCTTTGATTGTTGTCTAGAGAAGTTGAGATTCAGGTGGCAAGTAAGTTTAATTTATTATTACCATCCTCCATTGTGTTTCTGCATTCTTAACACTCTCACTCTATTGGTTACTTTTGTTCCTGATTCACTGGCCATATAAGAATTTGCATTTAGATTTGCTGGACTGAAACTCAGTACTTTTCTTCAGCTTTCCCTTGTCTGGTATTCTCCAGATACATTAAATCAGCCAAAACCAGGTATTGCTCTTATTTTGAAAGTTGTAATCCTGCACATATGGTGGGAATAAAATACAGAAATGGAAATTATAGGTAAGTTCCAGTTTTATGAATCATGTATGAATCTGGCATGAAAGCCACCTTGGCCAATGGCCAATCCCTCTGTCTTAGCCCAAACCACCTCACAGGGTAGTTATGGGAGAAATGAGAGGAGGAAGGAGTATTGTATATATGGTTGCAGCCTTAAAATATTTATAAAAATAATAGAAGTGGGATAAAAATCAAATAAAAATAGATGCAGGAAATGTTGGTGCTGATCCTTACTGAGTCACAGAAGTTCTTCCGTGTATATAGGAAGATAACAACGAGAACATTAACATTTGTTTCCCTGAAATATTTTTTAGACTTTGTTCTCAGCCAGATGTGCACACTGACTTAAAAAGATGCCTAAGGTTGTCCTTCAGGCTTGCTGTGCACAAGGCATGACAGAAGGAATTGGAAAGGATGAGGGGGGGAAAAAAGGCTGGTTTTAGTTACAAAAGCTGAAGGAAGCACCTTGCAGTGCTACATCTCTGGCAAGGATGAGACTGAGGGGTTAGATAATATTCTATAGAGAGTAGAATATAACTAGAATACAGAGAATAGAAGCTTCAGCCTCTTGATGGTCCATGGTTCATCTATTAATGAACAATTCCTGAACAGGCTTATCTGACGGCCTGGCATTTTGAAATCAGATGAAGTATCTGTGGTATTTCTCACAGTGCCAGTCAACCCAGCATATATTTGTACAAAAATGCCTGGCCGATATCAAAAGCTAATCTTCAAATGTCGGACATTTGCAGGAACTGGGCAACAGTTTGGACAAATGCAAGAACAACGAAAACCTTCAACAGATTCTTACCAATGCCACAATCATGGTGGTCAGTGTCACTGCATCCACTACCCAAGGGTAAGATGGGTCCTCTGTAAGAACCGAGGGGAGGATTTAGAAGGGATTTGGGAGATCAGGTCTGGGTAGGGGCTGGGGCCAAATCCACACACAGGGCCAAAAAAACCCCACAGATTGTTCCACTCCTGACCGAAGGTGGGGCATTCCTTTAATTATTCTTAATTCTTTGCACACTGAGAGAAAAGATCTTCCACCTTTCTCTTTGGTGTGCTTTTTTTTCACCTTCATCTAAGAGAGGAGGACTGCTTAGGTATTTAAGAAAGCTTACAAGAATGAGTAGCGCTCCAGCAGAATTGATATACTTTTAACTATTATAGTAGTTTTCCATTAGAGGATTGTACATTCTACATAATGAGTGAAAAAGTGCCGGAGTTCAAACGAAAATGGGGTGGGTGGGGGGGGTTGTGCTGCTTGTACATTGACGTCTGACAATACTGACTATATTTAAGGCAGGGTAGGGAGATAAGAAAGTTGTGTATCTAGCTTTTTTCTAAGTATACTTGAGAGCAGAAATAAAAATATTAGCATAATTCAAATATTCTTGCCTACATCGCCGAAGATCAGGAAAACATTACCTTATTATCTCTGCCCTTACATATGTTCCTGAATCCTGCAAACTCTGAAAAGTGTTTCATTTTTTCTCTCTTCCCTAACTCTATGCCCTTCAGATTCCAGCATAGATAAAGGAATGAAAAGAGTTAACATCCCAATCCACTACATCTAAAGCCAAACCTAGTCCCACCAGGCTAGGGAAGATGGAACTAATAATCTATAGCAGTGGTGGCGAACCTATGGCACACGTGCCAGAGGCTGCACCTGAAGCCCTCTCTGTGGGCACACGTGCCGTTGCCCCAGCCTCACCTCCCCCATGACCCGCTCCTCACCAGCAGCCCCCACTGGAGGAGAGTCGCCCCTGAGCATGGCCCACACGGAGCAGCGCAGCCACATGGCAGTGTAGACAAGACTCTGCCCTCATGCCCCATCCCGCACAGTTGATGCTGCGGGGCGCGGGCAGAGGGCGTGGGTGCCATGGCACTGCTGGGCTGCCTGGGCAATCTGCAGCGGGCCCTGGAGGCGGTGAATGGTCCTGCGGGCAGACAGGGTTGGGGATGGGAGGGGGCAGGGGGTGAAGTGGGGGTGGGGCCAGTTTTTGGGCACTCGGTCTCTAAAAGGTTCACCATCACTGATCTATAGGATGCTACTGAGAGACCCTAATGAAAAGGACCTTGCTTTAGCATGTTGCTAATATCAGTGATGCAAAATGAATGTGAAATTACAAAGAGGGCCCTTTCTGCCACTGCAGGCAACAGTTGACTGAGGAAGAACTAGAACGCATTGAGGAGGCCTGTGACATGGCCCTCGAGCTGAACCAATCGAAGCACCGCATCTATGAGTATGTGGAATCCCGTATGTCCTTCATTGCCCCAAATTTGTCCATCATTGTTGGGGCCTCCACTGCTGCCAAGATCATGGGTAAGTTTGCTGCTGGAGAGCTGTGCGCTGCGCATAGAGTTTTTGACTAAGCTGTAGAGTTGCAGGAAATATGTGGTTTTTAGAGGGAAGTTAAATCTTTCCCCTCTGAAAGGATGGTTTTGTTTTGTTATTAGCACAAACTGTTTTGCCCTTATACTTCAGCTTTATCAGAATAATTCACAAGTGAGCTGTTGTTGTTGTTTTCATTTAAAACTATGGAACCAAGAAATGCCCGGCTGAACAGTAAAGATTCTATTTCTGACATACGATTAATTCTGGCAAATCTCCACAGTCGGGGATTAGCAAGTATCCTTCTTTGTGGACAGCAAGTTCAACTTCCCAGGGAGAGGCCCCTCTCTTCCAATCTCAACAAGCGGGGAAAGTGACATGCCAAAAATTGGCTGATCAAAAGCCTTGAAGCTCCTTGGCTGTTTGATCCTGCTGTATGATGTTCACTCTCCGTTTCTTCTTTGATTAAGGCATTGCTGGTGGCCTCACCAACCTTTCCAAGATGCCAGCTTGCAACATCATGCTCCTGGGAGCCCAGAGAAAAACTCTCTCGGGCTTTTCCAGCACTTCTGTATTGCCACACACTGGTTACATCTACCATAGTGACATTGTACAATCATTGCCTCCGGTAGGTGTGTGAATCCGAAGCTCCTTTTCTGATTGATGCATTCGTGCATCAGGCTCCAGCATTGATTTTTATTCACTCTTTGTAGGATCTGCGGAGGAAAGCCGCGCGTTTGGTGTCGGCAAAATGCACCCTAGCAGCTCGAGTAGACAGCTTCCATGAGAGTTCTGAAGGGAAGGTGAGGCATGCAGGTTAAGGGCTTTAAGGCAGCTGTCTCCAACCTTTCTGGCTCTGTGGACTGGTGGAGGAAGAGGAGGCAGCGGGAGGGGGGGAGGAGGGAATAGTTTTGTGTGCGCCGCTTTCACAAATGCAGCTCCGCAAGTGCATGCGCACACTCGCCCACCACTTCTGAATGGGTGCATCCTAGCACTGGGCCGCAGACCAGGGGTTGGGGACCCCTGCTCTAGGACACTGGGGTAATAGCAGGGATAGGAACATAAATCAGACTTCCTGGGACATCTCTAAGTGAAGTTTTAAAAGACTTTGTTTTTTACTGAAGATATGCAACAAGTCCCTAAGATATGGACCTTCTTCAGAAAGCTATTTAATCCTTCTGGAGCAAAGTTGGGTACCAGCAGTAATTACTGCTTTTCTGTTATAAACATCGTCGAGAATCCATAGAGGCTTAATAAGGAAATGGGCAATTCCCCTAAATGAAAGGGGATTTAGATTGGATTGTCAAGACAAGGAAGAAGGGTATCTCTGGCTGCACATCTTCCTGTTCCTCTTCCTAGAGAAGAGCAGAATTGGCTTTGCAGTCCTGATTATCTCTACACCAAAATATCTTAAATATCTTAGATTGAGAGGTGCTAGCTGGCTCAAGGTTTGTCAGAGTCTGGGTTGTTTTTGAACTTGAGTGTTCAGGTTCTAATATAACTTATTACCCTTCCCTATTTTTGTGAGATGGCAATTTTCAGTTTGGCCTATGGAATGGATCTACTGTGAGAGGCAGATTAAAAATGAAGTAACTGATTTTTCTGTAGGGAAAGATTACAAAGATACAGCTAGGGCAGGGGTAGGCAACCTTGGCTCTTTTATGACTCGTGGACTTCAACTCCCAGAATTCCTGAGCCAGGATGGCTCAGCATGGAAACCTCTCCCTTTCCCCTCAGCATGGCTGGCTCAGGAACTCTGGGAGTTGAAATCCATGAGTCATAAAAGAGCCAAGGTTGCCTACCCCTGGGCTAGGCCAAGAGGACAGGTTGAGAAGGCCAATAGTTCAGCTTTAGTCTGTAGGGATGTAATCAGTCTGGTCTTTAGTATGGCTCCCAGAACTCAACCTCTTCAGATAACAGAGGAATCATAAAAAAAAAAAACCTGAACCTTGGGTTTGTCTTAGGGTGTTGCTCAAGTATATGCATGGAGTCTACGAACAGCAAATACAGCAACCAATTTTCTTCAGTCAAAGCTGGAACTCTCACTTTTCCCACTTTGATGCAATGTTGCTCTCCAGAGCTTTTCACTAATGTGACCTCCAGCTTGAAAAGAGTTTCTTTTTCCTGCTGCGACTTCATCTTTTACTTCTGTTAACGCATCCAGGTTGGATATGACCTGAAGGAAGAGATTGAGAGGAAGTTTGATAAGTGGCAGGAGCCACCTCCAGTGAAGCAAGTGAAGCCACTGCCAGCTCCTCTGGACGGACAGAGGAAGAAACGGGGAGGCCGCAGGTATGGGGATCCAGACAAAAAGCTTGGGAGGAGCTAAGGGGGAAGGTCAGGTCAAATGCTAGGATGTGAGAAGCAGGTCAATTAATATCTGTCTGTCAGGATTCTTTGTTTTCCAAGAACTGGGCACACCACAGCATAACACATCTGTACACAGTATTTTATTGAAGCACATAGCATCCCTAACAATAGACCAGACATGTCAAACACAAGGCCCGGGGGCCGGATGCGGACCGCGAAGTGGTTTCATGTGGCCCGCGAAGCCATCTTAGAAACAGTGAGGGAACGGCCCCTGGGCCAGCTGGGAGCCAATGTACAATTTTGTTGAGGCCATCTATGCTGAAATGCATTCAGTCTTAGCTCCATAAGCTCCCCCCCGCCCCGCATGGCCTGAGAGGAACAGTGAGGCTCCTCCAGTGGACCATGCCTTGGCACTTGCCCTGGTCCCACCCCATTCTGCCAGAGACCCTCAGATCTGTCCCACTGCTGCCCAGGCCCCCACAGGCACCCTTGTCGCAAACGATGTAGAGCTGGCCACACCCACCCAGTAGGCCGCACCCACCGGGCCCCGAGGGCAACCGCAATGCTGATGCGGCCCTCAATGAAATTGAGTTTGACACCCCTGCAATAGACTATCACTCTTTACACTTGCAGGACTTACAAGATGATGTTGCCATGTAACTATGCCGTTAATACTCTAATACTTAGTTTAAGCCAAAATCTGTGTGTAAATTGACATACAATCTTCCTTCCAAAAGTTCTTACACTAGTTAGGATGAGGCTTCAGTGTGTTTTATTCCTCTTTGAGTTGCTACTGAGCTCTCGCAGGATGTGCTGCTCATTGTAGCTTGTGGTCCTGGCAGTTGATTGACAGTCGTCTTGCCTACTTGCGATACCTCCCAATCTCCAGACATTGCCTCCAGTGCCCCATCTGAATGCCATTTGTTTTTCTCCTCGCCTCCTGTAGACAGACAGACACAGTTTATTTTGTTCATTGACCGGGACGCTCATTTTTGTTGTGGTAGAGCTAAGAACTGCTTCCAACTATTTGGAAAAGGGGGGAAGGATTAAGTACACAAAATCGGGGACCCATACCCAGGGATTCTGATATTCAGCGCACGAGACATCTGGATTTTAGGTTATAATCTAAAATGATCCTTATTATGGTCATAGACTAGCATAGGTCATAGCATAATAAACTTGCAATTTTCAGTTTGATTTTTTGTAAAAAAAAATCTTTTTGCTGGCTTCAGGTATCGTAAGATGAAAGAACGCCTCGGCTTAACAGAAATCCGGAAGCAGGCAAACCGGATGAGCTTTGGAGAGGTAGGAGATTCTGCACCATCGCAGAATCTTTCTCGGTGTTGCTTTCAAATGTCTTCGGTTCTCATTCTTCACATCTGAGGAATGAAGTTCTATATGGAAACTTAAATGTTTTATTTCTTCATATAAGAAATACACGGTTTTGTTACAGTTCTAAGTAACTGCCAGAACTTAGTTGCTTTTCTCTTTATGTGCAAAGCCCAAGCCGTGTTCAGGGCTGCTTTCTGAACATACCGATTTGAACTGAGAACACAAACATTTCTGCCTTCAAAAACACTTCTCATAAAAAAAAGAGGCAAAACTTCATAAATCTTTCAAGCTGACACTCCAGTATCCATCCTGAGTTTTGTTTCTGATGATTCTAGGTTGGGGAGCATCCCCCCTGAAGCAACAGGTCTACAACTCGGGGGTACTCCTAAACTTAACAAGTGCTGCCAAGTAGGCAGGGGAGAGTGAGGTTAGGGTTAAGGTTAGGTTAGGGCAGTGTTTCTCAACCTTGAAATTTTAAGGCATGTGGACTTCAACTCCCAGAATTCCACAGCCAGCATTGCTGGCTGTGGAATTCTGGGAGTTGAAGTCCACATGCCTTAAAATTGTCAAGGTTGAGAAACACTGGGTTAGGGTTAGTTGCACCAGTTTTGTAGCCCTTCCTGGAGCATGATTCCCTGTTGACAACTCCCTATGCTCTTATTATCTCTTAAATCAACTATTGTAGTACAGGTAGTCCTCGTCTTATGACCACATTTGGGACTGGAACTTCCACTAAGTGATCATTAAGTGAGTCACAGGTAAGTGAATCATGCGGTCATTAAGCAAATCTGGCTTCGCCCATTGACTTTATCAGAAGCCTCCTGGAACAATTGCAAATGGCAACCGTGTGATCCTGGGACACTGCAATCATTATAAATACATGCTGGTTGCCAAGCACTTACATTTTGATCATGTGACCGCAAGGACACTGACAGTCATAAGTGCGATGTCTGGTCATAAGTCCTTTTTTTCAGCACCATTATTAACTTCAAATGGTTGTTAAATGAAAAGTTATTAAGTTGAATATTATCTATATATATTTCAACATATTTTGAAGATTACCCAGAGTATGCCGTTGGCATGAAATGCAGCTGATAGGTGAGATTTACCAGTGCTATATAACAGTACTGTAAGCATGGCATTAACTACCAATAGGTTCTTAAGTACAATTCCAGGTGCTGGTTTTAACCTAAAATGCTGTATATGTTCACGTGTTTGGGTATCTGAAGAGTCATCCGCTTGAGGTAGAACCAACCCATGTGGTCCATTTGGGTACAGCTTCTGTAAAATGAAAAGAGTCCTTTGGTGGTACAGAAATGATATAAATACATTTTACTTCACTTCCTCTCATGCCTTTCTTAGATTGAAGAAGATGCTTACCAAGAAGACCTTGGGTTCAGTCTTGGCCATTTAGGCAAATCAGGAAGTGGCCGTGTCCGGCAGACCCAAGTCAATGACGCCACAAAGGCCCGCATCTCAAAAACACTGCAGGTGAGGAAATGGAGAACATTGCAGGGTTCAATTTCTGGTTTTGTCCTTCTAAGATTGTGTCCCCCTGGCACAATCTCATTACAAATGCTTTGGGCTTTTATAGACCTCCAGAATCGGGTATAGTGCTTTTGACCGAATGCATACAACATGCTGCAGTTTAATGTTTTATTGCAGGGCTGTCCAACCTTGGCAACTTTAAGATTTGTGGACTTCAATTCCCAGCATTCCCCAGCCAACCGTCTGGAAGTTGAAGTCTACAAGTCTTAAAGTTACCAAGATCAGACACCCCTGCTTTATTGCATGTGAATGCTACCATTGTAGTTTGTAAACTGTAGTTCAGTCATTGCCTACAGTCATAGTCACAAGATCAGCTGTGTAATCTTTTATCACTGTGTGATTGTTTTGAGCATGTATGCAGTGATTCTTGCTTAGGACTCTTTGGAAGTCTCTCCCTGCCCAAAGCCTTTTGCCCTCCACCTTGATGAAGTGCTTCTTGAATCCTGAAAGCTTTACTGGGTTTAAATTAGCTGCCTGTTCTAACAGCATAGCTTACCATTAGGATTTTACTTTGGGGAAGACTGCAAATGTTCCCAGAGGACATCTAGAATACATGATCCCTACCATTTCTAGCTACTGATTTCCATACGCGATATATTAAATACAAGTATTCTGCGACTTACAACCACAATTGGGCCCCAAATTTCCATTGCTAAGCCAGGCAGTTGTTAAGTGAGTTTTGCCCCATTTTACGATCTTTCCTTAACAGTTGTTAAGTTGGTAACACAGTTGTTAAGCAAATCTGGCTTTCCCATTGATTCTGCTTGTCAAACGGTCGCAAAAGCTGATCATGTGACTCCCCAGGACACTGCAGCCATCATAAATACATGCCAATTGCCAAGCATACAAATTTTAATCATGTGACCATGGGGATGCTGAACGGTCTTAACTGTGAAAAACAGCCATGTCACATTTTTCTGTGCCACTGTAATTTCGAACAGTCACTAAACAAATGGTTACAAGTGGAAGCCTACCTGCATATATTATCCAATACATATTAAAAACCAAATGTCACCTTTTTTTGTTCCAATCAGCGCACACTCCAGAAGCAAAGCATGGTGTATGGGGGAAAGTCAACTATCCGGGACCGTTCCTCTGGGACAGCTTCCAGTGTGGCATTCACCCCACTGCAGGTAAGCATTGCTCTTGACTTATATTCCAGTTTCCTATTACTCATCCATAACAGGAAAGCTAGATCATGCTTGGGAGGAATATGAATCTCCTAAGAATCTTCTACTTTGTTTTCTTTTTACAAAATAGACCAAACCACTGTAAGTAATTTTCTTTCTTCGGTGCTCTCTGAGCTTGGTTGTTTTCTTGCAGATGTTTCATTACCCAAACTAGGTAAAATCATCACTGATTATGTTACTTAGTTTGGGTAATGAAACATCTGCAAGAAAACGAGCAAGCTCAGAGAGCACCAAGGACCCCCCATTTCAACCCTGAACTGCAAATCTTCTCCTTTGTTGGTAATCTTCTGTCTCCAAGCTGGGGGAACTGGAGTATATTACAGCCCTTCCTCTCCTCCTGAGCAGCCTCTTCAAACCTGATGCTCTCCGCTGTTTTGCAATTGCAACTCCTAGAATTCCACAGCTGAAGGTTGCCAGGTTGGATAAACTCTGCACAAATCTTTGTTTTTATTTTGCCCCGTGCAATCTTTCTCCTATCTATTTGCAGGGTCTGGAGATTGTGAATCCACAGGCAGCTGAGAAGAAGGTCACTGAAGCCAATCAGAAGTACTTCTCCAGCATGGCAGAATTCTTAAAAGTAAAGAGCGAGAAGAGTGGCATCATGTCCACCTCATAGCAAATACGGATGCTGCTGTTTCGACCAGTCATTGGAACCACATCACACATGCTGATAGAAAAGTCTACACTGGACATGGACCTTGTTGAGGTTGAAGCTCAATAGACTATTTGACTTTTACAACTCAAGGTTCTTTCCAGATATTCTACTGACATCAGGTTTCTCCCCCCCCCCCCTTTCTGTTCTCATATAATCCACCAGAAAGCCTGCTATTGTTTAACTATTGATGCAGTGGAATGGCCTAATAGAACTGAGTTCAGTTTTCAAAATAAGTTAGTTAAGCAGTAAGCTATTTAATGGCATATAAGAGCTGTCCTGAATAAAAGTGTCCTGTCTCCCCCATCATATAAATTGACACATATGTCTTATGTGTCAATTTTAAACTAATTTTGTAAATACAGACTGAGATGCTACCATTCTTTCTCATTGCTATCTAGGAGCACTGGGTAGCTAATCCTTTCTTCTAGATTCTGAGTTAAAAAGAGATTACTTAGATTAAAAAAAACACTTTGCTTCCTGCGCACTAGATTACATATTTCTCAGGAATTAATTGTAACAGGACTACATGTAGGAGGTGGGGCATTAGAAAGAATAGTGCTTCTGTACTTGGGTGCCTCCCTATTGTGTGGGTTTGGGCTCCCAGGATTCCTTAGCCACGTGGCTATTGTTGAATTCGGGGGATTAAAGTCCACCCATATGGAAGTTTTCAAACTTGGGAAACACTGCTATAATTAGGAGTGCACCTTCCTTAATTCATGTACCTCCAGATGGCCATGCTAACTGGGAGTTGTAACCTAAGACCTTTGGACAGCACGGAGTTAGGGTAGGAGTTACTTAAAGGGGGAGAGGTGAGAGTGCGTCATATGTATCTAAACCAAAACTTGTGTTACGTTATATGTAGTAATGTGGTTGAGTGTAACTGGGAATGTCCAGATAAATTGCATTCTATTTCTAATACACAAGTGAATCATTAAAAGGACATTTTTTTCTAACTTCCAGGTGTCAATGGGAATTTTATTTAGTGTATTAAAATCATAGTTGTTAAAAATTAGTCTCTCAATCAAGGGCACAGGATCATGCTGGCTATGTGTATGTAACAATAAGACAGTGAATCTGAGCTGACATTTCATTACTTTCAGGAAGAACATCTAAAGGGTGGTGAAATAGCTAAAGTTTTTTTGTATATTTTACTTAATAGTTTGAAAAATGCATTCAGGATATATTTTGGAAGAATCATTATTAAGACCTGTATCTAATCCCATTGTTTTGTGGAGTAAGAATAGAGGAGAATTCTTGCTCTATCTTTGTTTGCTGTTTTGTGGCTTGAACATTATTCTCCTAAGCATAGCCCTTACTTCCTATACCTTTGGGATAGGACTTCACCTTCCGGTAAATTGAGCGCAGATTAGATGCCATCAATAGTTGTCATCAACTCTTAAGAGAACACATAGATTTTTTCCCCCCATGAAATTTAGCATAGACAAAACATGTCACCATGCATTTGATTGTAAAATACTGTAGCTATGCCTACCTCCATAATGATGATGTTGCACGAAATTGACATAACAATTCTGTTCATTCCTGGCATATGTATTTGGTTATGTTTTTGTGGGGATGGGTGCGTATCCCTGTTCTGTGGTGAAATTTCCCTTCAGAGAATAGAGGGGGTCACGTTATTCACCAAAGCACCAGAGGGCAGGACAAGAAACAATGGTTGGAAACTGATCAAAGAGACAAGCAACCTGGAATTAAGGAGAAACTTCCTGATGGTGAGGACAATTAACCAGTGGAACAGCTTGCCTCCAGAAATCGTGGGCGCTCCATCACTGGAGATTTTTAAGAAGAGGCTGGACAGTCACCTGTCTGAGATGGTATAGGTCAGGGGTAGGCAACCTTGGCTCTTTTATGACTCGTGGACTTCAACTCCCAGAATTCCTGAGCCAGCCATGCTGAGGGGAAAGGGAGAGGTTTCCAAGCTGAGCCATGCTGGCTCAGGAATTCTGGGAGTTGAAGTCCACAAGTCAAAAGAGCCAAGGTTGCCTACCCCTGGTATAGGTCCTCCTGCTTGAGCAGGGGGCTGGATTAGAAGACCTCCAAGGTCCCTTCCAGCTCTATTTCTATCTTATTCTAATATTCTAGTAGCCAGCGTTGTAATACCAGAGATTTAATCTGGCATTTTCCATTGCTTCACAAAGAAGCAAAAGTGGCTAAACCATTTTTGCAGGCTTAATCATGCTAGCAGTATTCAGGAGGTGAAACTCTTTAGTCTTGTTTTGTTTTGTAGCAATCTGTTGTGCAACCCTGTGACCTGAAACCATTATGACCAAATAAGTTCTGAAAACAACCATCAGTACCTCCAGGAAATGCAAAATGCTTCCTCCAATAGGCAAAGACAAAGGAATCCAAACCTCTAGGGAAAGAGTTAAATTTGAAAAAAAAAATAGGAAAAGAATATTGTTAGTAGACTGAATTTGAGAATTCTTTAAATATTTAACATAAAAACCCAGAAACCAGCCACAGATTTACCTAGGGACCTAACAAGTCTTTAAGGCAGATGTAAGAGGACAGGCTCATGTGTGCTTACTAACAGCGAGATTTGCTTGTTATTCTGCAAACGCAGCCCTGCAGCTTATGCAACAATATGATTCAGCAAAGCAAGGGATATATCACTAGTGAAGTTGGTCTCTTTCTTTGATATGTCTCTTTTATTTGGATGCTGAGATTCTGCACATATCTCAATAGCAGCAAAGTACCCTCATTTTATCAGCTCGTGAACCCTGCTGTGCCCGCCTAAATCTGTGACAAGCCTTTGTGATAGCTGGATAGGAAATGCTGAAATAAATCATTAAACCGGAGCCCGAATAGAATCTCTACCTTGGAAAGGGATCATTCTTTCTTCCCTGATTGGATATTGGGTGTTTAATTGACAGGTTGCCTCTTAAGAGTTTCCTGCAGATTGTCCCGCCCCGACCCCTTTTACCTTAATGTAACCAGCCTCAAAACGTGCATGCCAATACAAAAGGGGAAGGTTCTACGGGGCGGCACAGCCGTCCAATGAGGAGACAACATGTGCAGGCTCGCTTGTTTACAGCCAATGGGGAGACACAGCCTCAAAATCTTTCGCGCTACCTCATTTTTATTAGTTTCAGCCAAATATCAGGACCAAGCAATAAATGACAAGGCTGCCATCCAATAGCCTTTCTTACTCTTGCCAGTATTCGTGTACAGGAAGCGATAGTCAATCATATAAGAGTCAGATTTGAGGGACAGTTTTGTTACCCATTAGGAGGCAGTCTTTGACGTAAACTCCGCCTTCTCGGCTTGTTTTTCGCGGAGTAGTAGGCGTAACATAACTACTCTATCTGCGCCTCTTCAACCAATGGTAGCTCAAGAGTGCTTTGAAGGACACCACCTCTTGACAAATAGATCCCGTGCATTACTATTAATGACAGCTGCGGCTGCGCCGCGTCGTCCCACCTTCCCCGTTCCCCCTTCCGTCCAGTTTCTTATTATCCAATCGGAATGGTAAGAGCTTGAGGAGCGGGAGGATTAGCCAATACAGATCAGGGGAGGGCGGATCGAGAGAAAGTAGAGGGGGGAGGCTGCCGCCATCTTGGATGCCGCGGAGCCCGAGAGACGGGGGCGAGAGAAAGAGAGAGGGAAAAAGAGGGAGAGTGAGAGAGACCCGAAGACGCCGGAGCTGCCGGTGAGACAGCGGGAGGGGGCGGGGCCTAACCGAGGGGCGGAGCTTGCAGGTGCCTACGGAGCTCCGTAGGGGGCGGGGCCAAAGTGTTTGTTGGGGGCTCCATAGGGGGCGGACGATGTTCAGGGCAATGCTGGTCCTATAAGTGTTGGGGAGGGGATGTCTCAGGCGTGGAAAGGGAGCTCCTCCGGGGGCCTCGAGTTTCATGGGGCTCCGATCAAGGGGGCCCTGGAGAGGGGTTGGCAGGGCTGGGGTTCTAAAGATGAGCCCCTCACCTGTAAGCATTGGGGCCCCTTAGGCCCCCATGGGCAAGGCAGAGCTGGTGTGGCAGCCTATGGTGGAAAAGCGTGGGGTGGGATGCGGTGGAGTGTGGGTTGCTCCAAGTGGGATGTTTAATCTTTTCTACTGGTGATGCTAAAGGTGCCCATGGAGGTCCTGGAGTCTGTGCAAGAGGGAGCAGCGAAATCACTAAAAGTTGCAACCTTTGTAAGGAGGCCAAGACACTCTGTCTGGAAAGAGGATGCTTTCTGAATAATCCCTAACCCATTTCAGTCTTGCATGGAGAAAGAAATCTGTAGGAAGGTTCTCCCCAGAGAGTAGTCTTCCGTGATTGGGGTTAGGCCCATTAGCCTGTCAGGGCAAAGATCCTCCCAACTACAAGAAACTCAGGGAGGTATGAATACTAGGTCCTTATTTGTTTACTCCTTCCAGTGCATTCTGCCATGGTTAAGATTTTAGTGGGCTTTGCCTACATGCTTTACATTAGTCAAGAGCTAGAAATCTTTCTACAGTTCTTAAGATGCAGAATTCTGCACTCTGCCTGATTTCTGCACATAAATAATAATACTGTAGCCTTTGGATATCACCTTGCCAGAAATTATTGTGCTGGTTGAAGGTTGATGAAGTTTGAACACAACTGGAAGATTCCAAACTTCTGGAGACCACCATAGTAAATAGAATTTGCCTCTAATGTAGAAAATACTTTATGTTCCTAGTCTCTTTATCATCCTTACAAAATTTATTTCAGAAGAAAAAATTGGGGAAAGTCTCAACAGTGTAGTTACTTAAAAATTAAAGCTATGTTACAAGATTTTTTTTATAACAGCTGTTTAGTTGATTTTAATCTAAGAAATTCTCTCCCCCTTTGATAGCTCATTAATATTGAACATAATATCAACAGGGTGGTGCTATACAGACAATGCTAGATTTGCTGGATCCTAGTTTCAAATGCACAGTAGATTCTTTCAGCAAATAAACACACTTTCTTTTCATGTATTTATTTTAAATTCTGCCTATCAGCTAATATCCACCCACAAAAGTAGCTTAGGCCAAAATTGTTAAAAACAAACCATGTTCTGTGTTTAAAGAGAAGTAATAATCACTGTCAGTGTAGGAATTGTCTGGACTTCTTGGGTTTCTGTAACTTGGATGCTGCCGTTGCATAGAAAGACTTTCTCATATATCACCAGCCAGATTTCTGATGAAAATTTATAACTAAAGGGCTCTTCAGGGATCTGAATGGGTAGATAACTTCATAATGCCCCAGCATCAATCCCCACATCATCAAGTTAAAGCAGGAGTCTTCAGTCTAAATCTTGTCTGATACTTTTGCTTATAACTCTCATCATTCTTGACTGTTGCCTATTCTAACCATGTTTGGTAGTTTTGGTACAACAGTCTGGAGATTCAGAAGGACCATCAGTTGAGGCTAGAGATAACTAATGCCATCTGGAAAAGACAGGCAGGCCAATATAGTAGCCTCATTTCATATAAGGTAGATTAACTACGGTATGTTTGATAGTAGCAGACAGGAAGCAAACTATTCAATATACTGCCTGTGAAGATACACAGAGCCTCAGCTATGGTGGGATTTGAATTCCCAGGTTGACTGGACCACTTGCTATAACTTAATGGTGGCTTGTATTTTTACCCAGAAAGTTGGGCTACACTGCAAAACACAGTCAATAAAAAACTTACATGATTTGATTTCCTTGAGGTGGAAAGCATACTTCCAGATGGTTACGCTATCAAATCATAAGATCCCATTGATATCATTTGAAGTTACAGTGTTGATACAGGAAAGTACCGTAGCACTTTCTCCACACAAAACATACAGTTAAGGAAAATGCCATATTTCCTTTCCACGTAGCATGTTATTTACATTTGTGCCTTGAATGTAGAAACTCTTTTAAATGCTGTAGGACTTTGCCCATTGTATGATCCTATAAATATACCCCCACCCTGTACTACAATGAAAGTTATTCTTTGGCTGTTAAATCT